ATATACTTTTTCCGTTACCAAATGTAAATAGTTTCTGGCACGGGCCAAAAATGAAAAAAGTTTAAAGAATATTGGGTTGGGTGCTAAATTGGGCCTAGCACAAATGCATTAGGCCCAACTAAAACTTCAAATGTATAGGTGTTTGGATTTAAAAGAGCAGTAGAAATGACATCATGTAGCTACTCTAAAGGTCTGCTATTTAGGAATTAATTAGTGTATCCTGAATTTCAATTTTTCAGTTTAATTTTTCAGGACAAAATGTCTTGAGTTGTCCTGAAGTTAAGATTCTTAGTTTAAAATTTCATGACAAAATAAATACTAGCTAATCCTTAAATAGTATCTCTAAAAATGGATGTCTGTGCCCTTGCCCCTTAAAAAGATTTTCTAAATCAAACATCAAGACAGGATTGAAACACTCCTCTCTATTGGTTCATGATTTTCCAAAAGTTGAAGGAAATTTTTGAAGGAAAAATCTCAACGTTCTTCCTGAACAAACATCTATAGTATTTTTTTTTTCCATTATGAAAGACTGATGGTGGGATATCATACGAAGTGGAATTATGTTTAATTAGAATTATAGTTTTGCCAAAGCATGTGAACTTTCATTTTATGCTTAAATCGATTCACGGAGGAAAATATTTGAATATTTCTTCATAAAGAAATTTAAAGAAATATTATTTATAAGAGAGATGGTTGGTAATGTTATTCAATCTGTATTGCTGTTAGACCCTTGACAAAGCTGATCGGCAAGCGGCGCGGCAGTGGCAAGGATTTTGGCATGATGGCCTTGCCATTGGCCTATGTGCGGGGGAAATCAACATGCAAGACAATGCGGGTGTTGTCAATGGCAACAAACTGTTGCAATGGCAAGTGTGACGGACTACGCTTCTATTTAAGGGCTAAGGTGTGACGGACTACACCAAAAATATGAGTGGGCTGCGTGCAAGCAAAGGCCAAGACTTTGACGGAAATAGGCGGGCTGGACAAAAGCTTGACAAGGCAAAACGGGAAAGACCTCGGCGCTAAAATGGGGCAACTTAGTGCCAAGGCAGTGGCATTGGCAATGTGATGTTGCCATGACTTAGGTGAGCGGGCTGGCACCTAAGTAAATTATGGGCAAACGACCTAGCAACGGGAATGACATCGTGGCTTGGTGACTTGATGCCAAAATCAGCTTGGCATTGGCAAAGGGCAGACTTGATCAAGTAAGGGCGACTTGACAAGGACAAACAACTGTGGCAGCGGGCGGGCACGCGGCAAAGTCATGGGCGACAAGCTGTGGCTATGGCATTGAGCGGGAGTAGTGTCAAAGGCCAAGGCTGGGCGCAAAGCCAGCCTTGGGCGTGCAACAGCTGGCCAAGGAACGCGCACATGCAGTGGTTTTCAAGTGTGCTGTGCACATGCCATGCAGTTGGGCGGTTACAACTGCCCTTGTCCAAGAGTTGCTGATTATATGCTGAGTCTCTGCACGTTTTTAGGCATTTTCTAGGCATGACATGCACATTTTGATCATGGGGATCATGTCCTATCAGTTGGGGGTTATCAACTGAAAATAGGAAACAGTTTTGGGCTGACTACACTATATATATGTGTGTTAGCAGCCATAAAAACGGGCTAAGTACCTAGGGAGGGAATTTAGCAAAGATATAGGCATAGAGTTGTCTATATTAAGGCTTGAGCATGGCAAAATATGTCCCATTGCCTTGCCAAACGAGTGGGCAGCACGAGCGGCCTTAGGCGGGGGCTTTTATAGGGCAGATTCGTGCAAGTGTCGGCTATTTTTGTGAGTTGGTGCCTGCTCGAGAATTTTCTTTGTAATTGATTTTATAAAAGGTTGGGAAAGGGTTTCCGTAAATCTGCTTGTGTCCTTCTATATTTACATTACCTTAAATTGATTCTAAGTGTTAAACCTCGAAAGCGAAAGAAAAATTGGGCGAAGGCTGAAGCCAAGTGGGGACTTGACTGTTGCACAGCGGGCAGTATTTTCGGCGGACAGAAAACGCCCCTGTGACAATTGCTGTAATAAACAATAAAACAGTAAACTTTCTGGAAAAACAGAAACAGAAAGTTAGTAGAACCAGCACGACAAAAATAAATTCTGGAAAATAATATAGGAATAAATCGAGCCCACGGAATACACAGTGTGTCCTTAAGGAAATTATTCCCCTCAAGTACCCGAGGTGCTGGAATATATCCTCCCAGGATAGAACGATTTAACTCATCAGTGTATTGGTACCAAAAATTCTGGTGAACGACGAACCACTCAATGGTCATAAAACACACTAGAAAACATTGTGCAGAAGAATAAGAAAATAGTCAGAAAATTTAGCAAGTAAAAATTCTGGGATTCAAGGCATATTTATAGCTCATTTGGCACTGCTTCTGAAAAGGTTTGCAACCTTTCAGAACAGACATAGCTGTTGGAACATGTGGGAATATTGCGGGAAAATTAGAAAACGGATTTAAAATAATTCGGGAAAGAAAACGGACCGGACCGAACTGAAAAATTCAAATATTTCATTTTTACTCCATTTTCCATTCACGCTCTTTAAGTTACATCAAACATAAAATTAAGCTACACCAAGCTTAAAAGCCCAATAGTGAGTTCCTCATCTCGTTTTATTACAGGAAAAGGAGACATACCTATAGATATTAAAAGTTGTATTATATAGAAAATGTTATGACTTACACAATTTGACGATATTAGTTGTAAATTACCACCGAAATACAACCCATTCAAGTTATCGTGCTGAGTTTTGCCCACAGAAAGTCAAGTTATAAAATTGAAGCTTACCTAACTTATTCTCTAAGGTGATATACATGCACAATTGCACAATATAGAAATACGTATCAACTGTACAAATGAATAGTGGTATACGGATAATACTTATATGAAAAATGGATCCCTTTAGTTGGGAGCAAAGTTATTTTATTTCATCATTTTGAGCTTTTTGCCTTTTTGGCCCCACATTTATGACAAATCACACATTAAGCCCCTCAAGCGATTTATGCCCCAAGATATCCAAATTTTACAGTCAAGGCCTTAGATTTTTTTTTTTTTTAAACATAACAAAAAGGATTCGTACTTGCATTGAAGTTTTTTTAATTAATTTGAATTTAATCTGATTTGAGTTATATAAGACTCATTAAAGAAAAATTAATTAATCTGAATTTAATCTGATTTGAGTTATATAAGACTCATTAAAGAAAAAAATGCTTTATATAATTTTTTTTCATTTCTAAAACTTCGAAACTTCCTATTATCAAAAAAGGGCCCAGCCCGGTGCTTTAAATTCCCTCAATGCAAGATTAGGGGAAGGGCCGGACCACAAGGGTCTATAATATGCAGTCTTACGCTGTATTTCTGCAAGAGGTTGTTTCCACAGCTCGCACCCATGATCAGGGGCGGAGCTAGCCCATCCAGTATGGGTTCGGCCGAACCCAGTCGCTTTGGTTCAATCCATGTATTTGTCTAAAAAAAATCATTAAAGATGTACAAATTATTAATTTAGAATCCCGTAACTTAAAATGATTAAAATTCTCAACCCATAAACTTCAAACTCTGACTCACTCATGACCTGATCTGACAATAACTTTATCAATTGCGCCAATGCTCCCCTTACTCGGTGTGAGCTCTGTTTTAAAAGGCAGAATTGGGACTCGCCCGGGGCTCGCCCCAAGGCGGAGCACTCGTAAAACGCCCCTGGGCTTATGTGTGGAGCTTAGTTCTGTGAGACTTACGCCTCGGCCGTCAGGGCTTACGCCTCGGACACGCCCAACGCCCAGTGTACTGGGCTCGCCTAATAGAACTTTATGCAATTGTATGAAACTAACCTTATAAATCCTCACATTTTTTCATAAATCGTTGACTATTCAAAATTACTTTTTTTAATCATAAATCATTAAGTTGAGAGTATTTTATGACATAATTAAAATAAACATTATTACATGTTATCCACTGGGACTGCTATGATAGTAAATTTTAAATAAATCTTTCATTTAAAAAGTATTTATTTATTAACTTTTATTCTTTATTATTATATAATAGTCCATAATTGTTTTATAATTATTTTTTTAAATAGTTATTTTTTTCACGTTTTACGAGATACAATATTTATTAATTTAATAGCTCGGTATTAGTCTAGTAACTATTTAAAAATAATTAGTTAT